CATACAAAGGTATAGTGACCACATGTCAATGATTTAACTCATTAGCAAGGAGATAGCAGAATGACAAAGTTGTTCCAAAGAAATGCATGAGAAACGGATACACAAACACACTCATGCGTGCATGCAGAGGGTAAACAGAATGCTGTTTTAAGACTGCAGAGACAGATACAAAACTGGATGCCTTACAAGGCAAGAAAACCGTCTCTTAGAGTTACCTTTTTTACCAAACGGATCCTTTGCAACTTACCAGTCTTCTCTAAATTATCTCACATCTAACTCTAGAGGGACTGGGCCCTAGTCAATAGTAAGTACCAAGTTAGCTACCTCCTCTGGAGCAGGAGTCAGCAAATTTTCTCTGTGCAGGGCCAAACAGCAAATATATACGTACGCTTCAGGTGTTCTAGGCCATATGGTCCCTGTCACAACTACTCAACTGTTGTTGCGGCATCAAAGCAGCTATAGGCAATGAATAATGAATGAGTGTGGCTATGCTGCCATAAGATATTACTTACATAAAACAGGGGATGGGCTTGATCTGACCCACAGGATACTTTGCCAACTCCCTTGCCCTAGAGCTTCAGATGATCCTTGGGTGGCCCAAGTGGACAACCCTCTAAGAACAACTCTGAAGTGACCTGCAGTAATCTTTCTGCTTTATTTCCAAGTTTTAGATAATTTCTTAAAAATGGTAATAACCAGGCTTTCAAACAATAACTTCTGCGGTGCTTTTCTTGCACTAGGTAAGACAGCTCACTTTGCTGTCTCTCTAAGGCTCATTCAGACTTTGGACTTCTGTTACAGAACAAAATAAGGCTCTCATTTAAGAACACTAGGGGTTTCCCCGGTGGCTCAGCAGTAAAGAACTTGCCTGCAATGCAGGAGACACAGCACAAGCTGTGCTTCAATTCTTGGGTCAGGAAGATCCCCTGGAGAAGGAAATGGCAACCCACTGCAGTATTCTAGCCTGGAAAATCCCATGGACAGTCCATGAGGTCACAAAAGAGTCTGACATGACTTAGTGACTAAACAACAAAAAAAGAACATTAAAAAAAAATCAGAGTTCTTTTCAATGTCTTTGCTTGCTTGGTTTGGGGAAGATTCTGACTTCCTATTCCTTTTCCACAGCCCTGAAGAATGCTCATCAGAACCGATGGAAAACCCAATGCTGATGATAAGTCACTAAAGGCTACCATAAATACAGGATGCCAGGGCTTTCCAGGCAGTCCAGTGGTCAAGACTCTGTGCTTCCACTGCAGGGGGTGCAGGTTCAGTTCCTGGCCAGGGAAGTCATGCACACGAAGCAGTGTGGTGAAAAAAATTACAGGATGTCAGACACTTCCAAGAGGAAGCACCACTCATCTGCAGGCATGGTGCTAACAGTGTCACATGATTCAAGGGAATGGAGTCCACATACCACCTATAGGACCTCAACACTCAGACTTCAGGAACCAATGAAATCTAAGACCAGCGGAAGGATCTGCATTCACCTGATTCAGAACTGTTTCAGCCAAAATGTTAAAAAAAAAAAACCTTCATTCTTTTCATGGCTGAGTAGCATTCCATTGTGTACATACAAATCTTCCTTATCCATTCATTTGTTCGTGTGCATTTAGGTTGCTTCCGTACTTTGGCTATTATAAATAAAGCTGTTCTGAACATTGGGGTACATGAATCTCTTTGAATTAAGAGTTTTCATCTTTTCCAGGTACATTCCCAGGAGTGGGGCTGCTAGAACATAAGATAGTTTTGCTTTTACTTTTCTGAGAAAGCTCCATACTGTTTTCCAACGACTGCATCAATTTACATTCCCACCAACAACATACAAGGGTACCCTTTTCTCCACATCCTTGAAAATATTTGTGTGTTCTTGATCATCAACATTCTGACAGGTGTGAAGTAATAGCTCATTGTGGTTTTGACTTGCATCTCCCTGATAATTAACAATGCTGAGCACCTTTTCATGTGTCAGCTGGCCATCTGCATGTCCTCCTTGGAAAAATGTCTACCCATGTTTTCCACTCATTTTTAACTGGGTTGTTTTTTTGATGTGATGTGTAGACGATGTTTATGTGTTTTGGATATTAACCCCTTAGCAGTCATATCATTTACAAATATTTTCTCTCATTCAGTAGGTTGTGTTTTCATTTTGTCAATGTTTTCCTCTGCTGTGCAAAAGCTTTTAAGTTTAATTAGGTCCCATTAGTTTATTTTTTGCCTTTGTTTCCTTTGCTTTAGCAGACAGATCCAAAAAATACTGTAATGATTTAAGTCAAATTTTGCCATTTACAACAACATGGATGGACTTGGAGAGCATTATGCTAAGTGAAATAAGTTAAACACTGTATGATATTATTTATATGTGGAACCTAAAAAACACAACAAACTAGTGAACATAACAAAAAAGAAACATTCACAGATATAAAAAAACAAACTAGTGGTTACCAGTGGAGGGAAGGAGGGACAATATAAGGCTAGAGGGTCAAACAGTACAAAACTGTTACATATAAGCTACAAGGATATATTGTACAACACAGGGAATATAGCCAGTATTTTAATTATAAATGACCATAAGCTTTAAAAACTGAATCACTACACTGTACACCTGTAACTTACATAATATGGTATATGAGCTATACTTCAGTTAAAAAAAAAGATCACAAGTTGAATACCATCCTTTTAAATATAATGGAGATTATCTGACCTCTCAAGAAAATACTCCGATGTATCCGACTCCTGTTAAGTTGGAGTTAGGATGCAGGCAATATAAGGACTATACTGGGCTCATGTAATCCCACCAGTAACAGGTGACTGCTGAAGAGCAAAGTGTCAGAAGCACATTCCTTGTAAGACCAGGTTTATATATTGTATACCTTGTGGTTTAGTCGCTGAGTCACACCTGACTCTTTTGCAACCCCAATGGACTGTAGCCTGCCAGGCTCCTCTGGGCATGGGAATTCCCATAGAAAAATACTAGAGAGGGCTGCCTTTTCCTTCTCCAGGGGATCTTCCCAACCCAGGGACCGAATCTGCAGCTTCTGCACTGCAGGTGGATTCTGTACCCCTGAGCCACCAGTGCGGCCCACTGTGTGCCTACTGTGCGCTAAACCATCGGAACCGGCCAAGCTGAGCACAACGGAGTCCTCACTCCAGAAGCCACCAGCAGACAAACAGACAAGGGGAGCCAGAAAGGCACAATGGCTTCAGTTTTATAACGCTATTATCTAATCAAGTCTAAAAATTAAATGACCAAAGACTTCCAGATAATAAGATAAGCAAATGGGATTCAAAAGGGAAGACGAATAGGGCATTGATTAGGTGATTTATTACTAACAGTTTCTGCAGAAGTAACACCTCTCACTGTAAAGACCTTTCCCATCAACTTCTCAAGTTGCTTCGGGTAGATTTAAATTATCTTTTAACTTCCTGTTTCTGTTGTCACAGCCACATTTATTTCTGTCTGTGGTGATCATGTCTTCCTCCTGCCAGCTGGCGGTCTAATTTTTCACCTTCTAGCAACTTTGAAACAGAAGAAACTCTGATAAGAATAACCTGATGTCATGTGACATGCTGACATGTTAAAGAAAGCCTGTTGCTGCTCCACAAAGATCATGCTTCTGTTCTTCAAAGCTTTTCCAACAAGAAACAAAGTTTATATGTAATTTCTGAATATCTATGAATGGTTTACACTTAGAATAAATTTTCAAGGGCTGTTTTTAGGAATACACATACAATTATTTTTTTTTTATTTATAGTGATATTATGCTACAAATAAGAAAGTCATCAAAGAAATTCTGATCCCAAAATGTGGTTTACCACAAAATTTCAAGTAGCTTAAAAAAAGGAAAAGCAATTATAAGAGCTGTAAAAAGGAAGAAAAAGAAAAAAATGCGAAAACATATACTGAATCTAAATTAACCTCAGAAAACACTGTTCCAAGTGAAATGTAACTGTTCTATTGCTTAATGACCACAGAAACCACATCGATCACCATGTGATACTGAAGCAGTTATTTAAAAAGGAGTAAAGTTGTCCTTTAAGACAAAAGTTTGACAGTATTTTTCACAGTGAAACTTAAGCAAAAGGTTTTGGAAATTCTTAGAATTGTTCACTTGAAAAAACAAATTCAGCAGTTCTGAATTACTTCCATAATTACAGGATGGTTTTATCTGTGAAAACCAAATACAACATTAAGTATTAGCATGTAACCAACAATTATACAGAGTACTGTGCCAAAGGAAGATGCATTTTTTGATGGCAAAGTGACAGAGAAATGTAAACTAAAAATTACCCAGCTTTGCAAGGAAGCCTATCTTTCTTCTCTGGATTTAAACCATTGAGAAGAAAACTGTGAGGAGTCAGAATAAAACAAATGCACCATCATAATAAAGGAGACATAAGAATCTTTTGAAACACATCCAAGAGTAAAACCTAGTCCCTATTAAAAAGTTTAGAACACTGTTAATTAAAAGGCTAATCTTCACAGGCAATGAAGTACTAGTAAATTAATCTGAAAGTAATGTTACTGTGATGACTTAAAAATGTTGTCTGTAAATTCTCTGACATCCCACAATGCAAATGATGGGTCAGACTTGGTGTCTCACTTCTAAGGAAACAAACAAGCAGAAGCAATACTCCATGACTTTCAGCTTCTGCCGAGCAATGCTTACACGCCCTCTCAGGGCACTGGCTCTCAGAAACCACCTACCCCACTGGTAAGGACACCCAGCTCACACGAAGGGACTGTACATACATGTTCAGTCAGTGGCCCCTGCTAGATCCCCAGCAGACACCAGCATCAACTTGCCAGTCACATGAGGGAATCATAAGCCTTCAGATGATTCTAGCACCTGGCTTCTAATGCTCAAAGTGCACAGATGTACTTGAAGCTAACTCAACTTTACAATTCACTTTGCACTAATTTTTTTCTGCCCTTCCCCATTAATCCAAACTAGTTACTATTTCATTATACTTGCAAAAGCATACTTCATACCTCTTTATTATCATTTATCAGTTTATTCACAGTAAAGATAAAATACAAATGTTTGCCCTGCATGGATGATCTGAGGGGCTCAAGCCCCCCGCCCCCAGGACCCTGCCTGCGTGCTCACTGCATACCACACAGCTCTGTCCTGGCCGAGGGGATGGTAGCCCACTCGTTCCCTCCTTAGGACAGAGAAAACCTAACCCATAAGATATCCATTCTGTCACAGGGAGAGATTTATAAATCAGCATTACTTTTTAAAGATTACAAAGACAGACCATTCTGATCAGGATTAAAAAAACAACAACAACAACACACACATCTAATTTTTAGTTTACTCCTCCAGCTCAGTCAGAATTGAGACCAAACATCTTTGACAGTGCTTTATTATCTGTGCTCAGACTTTAAATAAGATATCCCTAATTTCCCCAGTTTCAACCTAAACATGTACAGTTCTAATACTGACGTTCTAATTTGCAGCATGACCCTAGACAAGCCATCTTACATCTCTGCCTCCACCCACATCCAAGAGAGATAATGACACCCTTTTTTTTAACCTACTTACCTATAGGTAAGCAGGCATAAGATTTATGTTGCTGATCACAAACACAGGTAAAATACATAAGGTTTTATCATATTAACTACTTTCTAATATTTGTTTTTATAATTTAATCAAAATAAAGACGGCATACTTTCAGAACTACAAAATTCAGCAGTTATATCAGATGAATTAAGTAGTAAATCTAGTCATAATAATAAATCCATTCACCCATGTTCTCATTTAATTACATTAAGAAATAATAATTATAAAAATAGGTAAAATGTTGTGAAAATATTCCTATTTATTCTATCTTTGAGGAGTTCATGCCCATATCAATGGACTCTCTGGCATCAGACACGGCATCAGGTACTCGAACAGTCATATTGTCCATAGCCTTTGTCAAACAGATCTGACAGCCCAACCGCGATCTGTATAAAAAAGGGGGAAGGTGCGGTTTAGTATTAAGTTTATCTTATTCACAAGGCAATGCAGTTAACAGGATCTTTTTCTTACCCAGAACATTGGGATTTATCTACCTTTTAAGTTTTCATTAAGTCAAAAAAGATACATCCAACCCTTTCAACTAGAGGATAACAGAATGTAAACATGAAAACAAAAAGTGTGATATGTCAAAGTTTTATTTTAATCTCTAGCTTCTACCTTCTACTAATTGTTTCATCAGAACTACTACTTTTTGGTGACAGGAATGACAAGCAATGAAACGATGAGAAGACACAACAGTGGAGAAGAGAACTGAGGCTTTAGCAATGCCAAGAGAATAATTATCTCACAGTCACAACTACACTGGGAGGTGATAGGCACATCAGAGGTAGCCATCCCTTCAACTGAGTTATGGGAAATATATTAATACTATGTATTGAATTTCATTACCATTCAAAATAATTCCAGCCCAAAAAGATTACACTAAGGCTGATTCATGTTGATGTTTGCCAAAAACCAGTAACAATACTGTAAAGCAATTATCCTTTAAATAAAAATAATTTATAGAAAAAAGACTACAAAAAAATTAAAAATACAGAAATAGTATAAATTGATAAAAGAAAAGTAAATATTTATCACTGGAAGAATAACTGTAATTCCATTTTTTTCACAGAATTATGACCAATTTTATGTTTAAAAAAGAATCTTAAACAGTGATGTACAAATCTATGTCTATGTAGCTCTAAATATAAGTACAAACAGATCTTTCAATAAGCATAAAATGTTAAGTTATAAGATCATTTTACACCATATTTTAATTAGCAGAGCTTTTTCTTTCTTAATGGCACATAAAATTAAATACTGTATTTTTCTCATACTCCAACTGCCTTCAAAAAATTTGATGGAATGTGATATGCAGGTCTTGGTTTCATCAACATACTCATCAAGCACTTGTTGACCACCTAAAGGGACAGAACTAAATGTCAGTGGGTTTGCAAAGAAGAGTAATTCACCTCGATCCTTACTGAACACCTCTTACAGGCCAGGCACCAGGGACGCCACGAGGAGGCAGCATTGGGGTTAGAACCAAACAGACCAGTGGTCCAGACCCAGCACTGAATACGACAGTTCACAGGCAGCTTTCTTAATCCTGACAAATATTAGTTTCCTAATGTCATCCTAAGGATGGATAATAAGTGGGTTCCTCACAGGACTGCTGTAAGGATTGGTTGCTAATATCAGTATCAAGGCATGAACTTTAAATCAGAGAGAAGAGCTGAGACACATTTGCAGGTAATTAACGTCTGAGACTGTGACAAATGCCATGAGAGAGAAAGCTGAAAGGTCTGAGGAGAAAGCACTGACTTCTGGCTGGGGAGATGGTGTTTCTAATGGGTTCTGAAGACTGGGTAGGTTTTAATATTTAACAAAAGATAAAGGAGAAAGGCACTTGAGGCAAAGGTAAGAGAGGTTCAAGTCATGACTGAGTTAACATGGCTTCTGACCTGGCTGCTGTGCAGGCCAGACAAGGGCAGGACGAGTGATGGCCTGGAAAGGTAGTCAGGCCACGGACAGCTCCGAACACCAACGAAGGGGTGGTTCATGTTTTCACTAGTGAGCCATGAGGGACCCTGGGAGATTTCTGAAAGGGAGTAAGTACTACAGTCAAGGGCTTCCCTGCCGGCCCAGTAGTAAAGAACCCACCTGCCAAAGTAGGAGACACAGGTTTGATCCCTGGGTTGGGAAGATCTCCGGGAGAAAGAAACTGACTCTAGTTCATGGGGTCAAAAAAGAGTCAGACACAACATAGTGACTCAACAACAATGAAAAACTACAGTCATGGAAAATATTGACTGCTGACAGAAAAAATCCCTCTCTGCCAGTAGTTCCTATTTGTTGAATTAGAAACAGCCCTGACAATCTTGAGCAAAGAATGCTCAAACTACGACACAACTGCACTCATTTCACATGCTAGTAAAGTAATGCTCAAAATTCTCCAAGCCAGGCTTCAACAGTACATGAACCGTTAACTTCCAGATGTTCAAGCTGGTTTTAGAAAAGGCAGAGGAACCAGAGATTAAACTGCCAACATCCACTGGATCATCGAAAAAGCAAGAGAGTTCCAGAAAAATATCTACTTCTCCTTTATTGACTATGCCAAAGTCTTTGATTGTGTGGACCACAACAAACTCTGGAAAATTATTAAAGATGGGAATACCAGACCACCTTACCTGCCTCTTGAGAAATCTGTAGGCAGGTCAGGAAGCAACAGTTTGGGACATGGAACAACAGACTGGTTCCAAACAGGAAAAGGAGTACATCAAGGCTGTATATTATCACCCTGCTTATTTAAGTTATATGCAGAGTATATCATGAGAAACACTGGGCTGGATGAAGCACAAGCTGGAATCAAGATTGCCGGGAGAAATACCAATAACCTCAGATAAACAGATGACATTACCCTTATGGCAGAAAGTGAAGAAGAACTAAAGAGCCTCTTGATGAAAGTGAAAGAGGAGGGTGGAAAAGTTGGCGTAAAACTCAACATTCAGAAAACTAAGATCATGGCATCTGGTCCCATCACTTCATGGCAAATAGATGGGGAAACGGTAGAAACAATGATAGACTTTGTTTTCTTGGGCTCCAAAATCACTGCATGTCGTGACCACAGCCACAAAATTAAGACGCTTGCTCTTTGGAAGGAAAGTTATGACCAGCCTAGACAGCATATTAAAGCAGAGGCATTACTTTGCCAACAAAGGTCCATCTAATCAAAGCTACCGTTTTTCCAGTAGTCATGTATGGATGTAAGAGCTGGGCTATAAAGAAAACTGAGCACCGAAGAATTGATGCTTTTGAAATGTGGCGTTGGAGAAGACTCTTCAGAGTCCCCTGGACTGCAAGGAGATCCAACCGGTCCATCCTATAGGAAATCAGTCCCGAATATTCATTGGAAGGACTGATGTTGAAGCTGAAACTCCCAACACTTTGGCCACCTGATGCGAAGAGCTGACTCACTGGAAAAGACCCTGATGCTGGGAAAGATTGAAGGCAGGAGGAGAAGAGGACGACAGGGGATGAGATGGTTGGATGGCATCACTGACTCAATGGACATGAGTTTGAGTAAACTTCTGGAGTTGGTGATGGACAGGGAGGCCTGGCGTGCTGCAGTCCATGGGCTCGCAGAGTCAGACATGACTGAGCAACTGAACTGAACTGACAATCTCCAATTATGCATTAAGCTCTCTCAACAAGATAGAAAACGAGGCAAGCCAATTTCAAGCCAAGCCAAGCCAAGCGAAAATCAGACAAGACAAAGACTGGTGACCCGAGAGAGACTGTTGGTTATACTCTTGGTGTTCAAATAAAATTAAGTAGAGTAATGCTAGTCTTCAAGGAGCTTGGGGAAGAGGATGGAAAAAGCAATCAGTGATATTGGGCAGAATCAAGTAAGCACAGTAACATTAGAACCAGAACTATATAGGAGAACACAGGGAACCCCTCCTGGTTCTGTAACCCGAGAGGATATGGCAGTGGTGCTGGGACCGCTCTCACTCCCCTGCTTCCTCCTGGAAGGTCTCCAGCTTTAAGGTGGACCAGTGTAGAACCTCTAGAGGAGGAGCCAGACAGCAAGTCTTCCTCAATTTCATTGTTAACCCCACAAAATATCCCACTTGTGCAAACCTTGAAGACATTTTCTACAGCCACTTTGCCATATACACCTGACAGCAGAAATATACTAGGTGTGTTAACCTGACTTCTAAAGTTTGGTTTTCAAAGCAAAGAAGCAGCTTTAAACTGTAAGAAACCAAGGGCTGTGGGGTCCAATGTAACTGATTCAAACCGGGGCTCTGTCATTCTCCAACTACGTGGCCTTGAGCAAATCTCTGAAAACTAAGCCCTGTTCTATAAAGTGGTGTTAATACTGCAAACTCTGAAGGTTAGAAACAATCTTTGTTAAGATTGTAGGCATTATAGTAAATGTCTGGCATTTGAATTAATATTATTATAGTTAAAATGTCAACAACCACCATTGAGTGATTCAATGTGATTCAATTCACCAGACACTATTTAAGGAGCTGCACATGCATGTATTAGTTGACATGACACAACAATCTTATGAGGTAGGTACTATTTTACTATCCCCATTTTACAAATATGAAAATGAGGCCTCTGTGTAGGTTATCCATGGAACTGGCAGCAGGGAGCAATGACAACTATCAAAAATAGATTCACAAGTAATTCCTGACTCTATTAACCATTAATTCCAAAAATAGCTGGTGGTGATGCCCTTTGTGAGTTAGGCACTAGAGATACAGTGATGAAATACTGGATCATCAATTTCAACGAAAGCAAAAAAAAATTAACTGGAAGTATTAGAAGATAAGTTCTAGATCCTAATAAATCCTCTTTCATCTGTTTTTGTTCAAGGAATTAATATTTGCCACAATTTAATGAGTTGAGATGAAATTTGATGCTTTTTATGGTATTCTTGAAGGACAGATATGATAATTGAAAGAAATTATAATGAAAAGTTTTACCTACTTGAGAGAATACAGTTTTTAGAAAAACTTAATATATAATAATAATGTTAAAATGAATAGTTTTAATTGTACATTAAAAAAAATTAATCAGAACTTATTCTTGCTATTAATGGATCATCAGTCCATTATTAATCAAGGCTAAGTACACTCTATAATAACATTAAAATGCTCTTCAATCAAAAATTAAGGACACTTACATCAAACTTAATTTTAAAATAAACCTAGATCTAAAGACTGAGTTTCCTTGTATCTTTGGAAGTATATAGTACCCTAGAAATAGAAGTTTACATGCAGCTACCATTTTTGAACAAAATTATTTTCATTCCATTTTATCAGTGCTTTCTAAATCCTACCTGTTAAAAGCATTATACTCTTTCCCCACAGAGCATTTCTACTAAAATTCTGTGCACTTAAAAATACCAGCTATAAAATGTCATAAAAGCTATTTCTTGCTTTCCATTATTTTGTTCTAAAACTTCTGAATTTTACTATCAAAATTCTTGGCTAGCTTACATTTGCAGTAAGTCTTGTATCTTTCTCACAGTCATGTATCTCTCTTAAATATAGCTCTCCCTTTCCTCTCATTTTTTCTTTTCGTTCAGAATATTATGTTACATGCACCTATAAATTTTATCTGAATAAAAGAGCAAGCAGTTAGCTACAGTTCAGCCCTCACATTGAGAGAAACAATTTTCAGAACCAAATCAACACAACCCAAGCGTGTTCCGTGTGTTATCCTTCAGAACAGAAAGGAGCTGCTGACAGAGGATGCGGCACCTGGAGATGTGAGAGGAGACTGGGAGGCGGCAGCCACAAAAAATGCCAATGAGCTAACAACTTCTGTGAGGATTACAGAGTTTACATCAAGGGTCTAACAAAATGGTGGTTACGTAACACACATGAAATAAAGCTTATTATTACTTTTTTATTGTTTTAAACTCTTCTTCATTAGGGCCACCAAACGAGTTAAAAGTCAAAGCCAACCTGAAGTAAACTCTGATTATCTTGCCCTTTGAAACATTAAATTAACTCCGTATCTTCCCTATCTCAAACCAAAAGACTAGATAATTTTTTAAAAAAAGGTATCACTTGATATCACTTACTACTATAAATCTTACCACTTTTAAGAATAATTCTATTAATAACAAGAATAAGATCTGAGCTTCTTCAATGTACAATTAGAACTATTCATTTTAACGTAACTATTATATATTAAGTTTCTAAAAACTGTATTCTCTCAAGTAAGTAAAACTTTTCATTATAATTTCTTTCAATTATCAAATCTGTCCTTTAAGAATACCATAAAAAAGCATTACATTTCATCCCAACTCATTAAACTGTGACAAATATTAATTCCTTGAATAAAAACAGATGAAAGAAGATTTATTAGGATCCAGAACTTATCTTCTAATACTTCCAATTAACTATTTTTTACTTTTGTTAAAAGGAAAGTTTCATAAGGGTTAAACTGTAGAATACATGGAGAAATGTCACATATTAGATATTCAAAGTTTGCAACTTACCTGTCTGCCCGGGGAGAACACTGTAACACACGCAGACTGCATGTCTCTGGTTAGAGACAGACACAAGCAAACAAAGCTTTCACCTGCCCAGATGAGTCTTACAACAGAAACGGCCTGAAAACCTTACCTGTCTGTTAGTCCATATGCCAGATCAAGCATGTCATTCTCCTCATCAGTGATTGCTTCCAATTTCTCAAATATGTGCTGTTCAAAGATGAGGTGACAAGTAGAACAAGCCAGGGTTCCCTCACATGCACCTACAAAAGCAACAAACATTGAACACACCTCTCTCTACCTTCAACAAGATTCAAAATCGACTGGAATTCAGTAATTTCTAAATTTAAAAATCAGCATTAGCACACATCAATGGTACGACTTTATTTCTGAATAATAATGAGAATTAGGGACAACTTCCCATACCCAACACACACAGAGTTGGAAATCATTTTCAAATATTACTTTTAAGAGGTTATGGGTTAGATACTGTGAGGGAGATTCAAAAATTCAAATCCTAATATGAAAGAGTTTACAAGTTAATGAGACATGCATAGATACAAAAGTATATGCCTTTTAAATTTATATAGTTAATAATTTACATACAGCTGTGGAAGTTACTTACCTTTTCCTGGAGAACTCAACACAATTTATAGGAGCTTTCGTGGTATGTAAGAGGGATCAGAAAGTAATCAAACTGACATCTCAATAAAGTTAAATATTCTTCCCTCTCAGTCTTTCTTTATAATCAAGACAGAATCAAATAAGTCACTTTAAGAGTCACATTGGTTTAAAATAAAGAGAATCTTTCTCCTGCTCCATGTTTTTAAAAGTCATTAATTTGACAGTTATTTATTGAGTGCCTATTATACGCCAGGCACTATAAAAAGGGAACTGAAAAGTCTTCTAGTCCAACCAAACTATGACTGAATATGCTTTCCAACATAGTTTTCCCAGGGTTTACCCAGCTCCTGCTCGAAAATTTCTGACAAAGAAATCCTCCTGGTAAAGCCGGCCGATTTCACATTTGTCTACTTCTGTGTTCAAGTCTGTCACTCTGTAACTTTCCACCTACTGCTCCAACTCTACCCCATGGAGTCGAATCCTTTTTTCTTTCTGGATCTACTGAGGTAAAATTAACAAACTTGTAAGATACTGAAAGCACACATCATAATGATTTGATATATGAACATACTGTGAAAGGACTCCTCTCAGGACTCCAGTTAATACACCTGTAACCCCATATATGTCTACTTATTTATTTTCCATGAGAACATGTAAGGTCTACTCTCTCAGTAACAGAGTTATAGCCACCATGATTTACATTTGATCCTCAGTCCTTAATATTAGAGGTAAAATTTTAAACCCTTTTACCTATTAACCTATTTCTGTGATCTCTGCCAAGTCCCTGGCAACCACTTTTCTACTCTGTGTCTATGAGCTTATTTAGTGAATCCTTCTAAACAACAGCTTTTCATATATTTAAAAATGTTCTTTCTTCTCCAGGCTGAGCATACCCAGGTCCTTCAGATTTTTCTTACATAGTAACATAGTTCGAAATCCCTTCTCTCAGTCTGGTTGGGTTTACACCTTAAAATATAACATCCAAAAGATGACTTGATAAAAGAGAATCATTCATGAACATGTTCTCATTAAATTCTACCTAGTTTCATTCTTTTGCAAGTGGTTGACCAGTTTTCCCAGCACCACTTGTTAAAGAGGTTGTCTTTTTTCCATTGTATATCCTTGCCTCCTTTGTCGAAGATAAGGTGACCATAGGTTCGTGGATTTATCTCTGGGCTTTCTATTCTGTTCCATTGATCTATATTTCTGTCTTTGTGCCAGTACCATACTGTCTTGATGACTGTGGCTTTGTAGTA